ATTATCCTGTTCGCCACCTGTCGGCTCGTTAGCCGCTTGGGCGGTCGGTCACGTCTCTGTTACCACTGTTGGCAGATACCGGGCATGCACTTTCTCCTGAATATATCGAAACCTGCTTCAGTGTTGGTCAAGTCTGGCCTTGAATGAACTCACACTCGGTGCCGTCACAACGCTCTCTGGCAGGTTGTTCCAAGACTTCACAATTTCTCACTCCGAAAAAAAATTGCCCTCACAGTTTTCTGGACTTGTGGCTTTTTCAACCTTGAGCTGTGACCCCTTGTGGGGCGGACGTCCCCCAGCTCCAGGTATGTACATTCGACCGAGTAGTGCCCCCTGAGATGTTTATACACTTGGATTAGGTCGCCCCTCGCCCGACTGTAGTATAAGCTAGGTAGTTGCAAGCACTCCAATCTCTCCGGGTAACTGAGGTTCAATAGAGCAGGCACCAGTCTGTTGGCCCTCCTTTGGACATTTACAATCAATTGACAGTATCTAGCATACCTCGGGGACCAGATTGGGGTGACAGTACTCCAGACAGAGAAGCAACTCACTCTTGAAGATCGTGACAAGCGACGGACCATCCAGATATCTAAACGACCTTCTTATAAGACCACCTAGTTTCGTTGCCTGATTCATCACCTTCTCACAATTGCCCGAGAACTTAAGTTCATTGTCGACATTCACACCCAGATCCTTTTCACATTTGGTCTCAATTAATGCAGTCTCTTCGTCCTGTTGGGACATGTGATACGCCTCCTTACTATTGATGCGACCCAGGTGCATCCTTTTGCACTTCGTGACATTGAATCCTAGCAGCCATTTCCTCGACCATTCTTGAAGCTCGTAGAGATCTTTCTGCAGCTCTTCACAGTCTGCTTGGTTCTTAATTTCCCTAAATAACTTGACATCGTCCGCAAAAATTTGTATGAAGGAGTGTATAGCTTCTGGCATGTCATTAATGAAACAAACAACAATGGGCCCAATACACTGCTGCTCTGTGGTATCCCGCTAGTCACGATAACACATGACTATTAATCACCACACACTGCTATCATGCACAAATTCTCCGATCCACGCTAGGACACTTCCCCGAATCCCGTACCCTCCCAGTTTGATTCTCAGCCTTTCATGGGGTACGCTGTCAAAAGCCTTGGCAAAATCTGGGTATATATTGTCGATATTTCCGCATTGTTCAAGAATTTGAGTCCAAACATCTAGTACCTTGAGTAAATGTGTAAAGCAGGATCTTCCCGGCATAAAACCGTGTTGGCATTCCTTTAAAAGCCTAATTGTTGCCGTTGTGTCTCTGAGGCTAAGGTTGTCATGGCTAATCTTCTGTAACAGTAGATTGTTAATTAAATAAAATTTTAATTATTTACCGTCGGAAACAAATCTAGATTACAAGGTTCATAGGTAGGAAGAGTATGTAGGTTCTTCGTGGTTAAAATAAGTGGATTTCCCGAATATTAGCCCCCGTTCCCTTGTTTAATCTGAAAATTATTAACCACCATAACGCGAACCTAACTTAACCTACAGGTATACCCCCAGGTAGCATGAGCTTGGTTACGTACGCGTAGAAGCAATCCGCACTCCAACTAGCTGTTCCTACGCCGCTTACCATATTTGTTGGGTACCGTTACACACCTACGGGCAGGTTATCTAAGGAAAACGGGAATGAGACCAGGGTATATGTGTGTGTGTAACGGTACCAACATACTGTATATGGGAAGCGGTGTAGGAGTGGCTAGTAGAAAATTGTGGCTGATGTGGTTGACAAGAGGCGGGGACGTGTTTAGCGACGTGAACAACTCTTAACTTTCACCACGCACGTAGCAGAAAGCCTCAACTCATTTGCATCTCCATTATCAAAGCGTCACAACTCGTTATTCTCGACATTTTTAACAATATGTTCGCAAAACCCCACATTTACAACAGTCAACCTTTCGAGAAAAATTACGATTGTTACACTTGTGGTCTTAGCTTCACTGGTGTTGAAAATGGCCTCCGTCTTGATAGCTGCCCAGTCCAGTAGTTACCATCTTCCGTTATATTACTTGCTATAGAGCACAGAAATTTTTCAAAATCACCCGTAGATTAACCCGAACATAATTCACCTGATTCTTAAACACCCTAACGCTACCTGGGCATTAGGTTAGATTAGGCTACGGTGGTTAATCTTTTGGTGAAATAAACTAGTGGCTAATCTTCAGGCCAGCCGTTTTATCGTTACCATAAACTATAGGAATGTACCGTAATATGAAACTATTGAGACTGGGAACCAAACCACTCTAATCATCCGTAACTAGTACAGTCAACATTGGCCTGGCTCTCCCTAATGCTGGGACGACACCCTTTCTCCCCTAAGGAAAGCAAACATAGTCAGTCGCTCGTTAAGGAAGTAGTTGCTCGTACAGTATATCCATCCAACACAAAACCCACTTTTCTTTACAACAAATGAAACTGCAATATGAATATAATACTGTGTATTATACTATAGACGGGCAAGCGGTGACCTTATTGAAGTTCATAAGTATCTCAGTCAAGTGTGCATACCAGGAGGCTGGAGCTGGCGGACGCCCGCAGCCCCGCATCTCAAGGCTGAAGAAACCACTACTAGTCCAGAAAAGTGTGAAGGCAAACTTCATCGGAGTGAGAATTGTAAACTCTTGGAACAATGTGCCAGAGAGTATTGTGAACTTGTAATTGGTGCAAGTCCAGATACATTCTGGAGCCAGTATACATGTCCAGTACTTGCCAAGAGTGTGTAACAGTGGCTAACACCAGGAGTTGTTCGATTTTGTTACATTTTCCTCAGTTGTTATTTGGGTGGTATAAAGTAAGTCATTAAAACGATAAAAAAAAATTTATTTTAATTATATATATTTTTTTCTATTTACGATCATAAATCACTTGTAGTGGACAGGGTATGATGGATGAGGGAAATTGCGAGTTAAAACACGATAATAAACTGATCATATGACACTAATATAATGTCTCTACGTGTTTTGTACTAGAAGAAATTATTTTTTTTATCGTAATATTCCTTCGAAAAATCTGCTGTTGTCGTTGGCTGTTCACGGGCAACATCGGTCCTAACGTACTCTCACGTCCACAAAAAAACGTAAAATTACACCATAACACTTCAAAAAAGTTGCTTTTATTGGTACCACATATAAAATAAGTAAATTCTGTTTAATTTGGCTGGAAGTCCAGCCGGCTAGGATGTTAGGTAAGGTTATGTAGGTTTCTTTGCTTGGTTAGGTCAGGTTCTATTAGTCTGTGCATTGTCGCGTTTTTATCACTTACTATCGTCCAAAGAACATCTATCTGTAGAAAAGTGAACGAAATTGAACGCGTTCTGGTGTTAGTATCTGCTCCAGGATTACTGCACTATGTATAAGAACATAAGGAGTCTGCAATAGGCCGGTTGGCCTGTGCATGGCAGCTCCTGTAGAGAGTTACTACCACTCTCTATCATCCATGAATCTATCCAGCCTCCTTTTGAAACTTTCCAGCACTTACTACAAAGTTGCTAAGCTTGTTCCACTCGTCAACCACCCTATTTGTGAACCAGTTCCTTCCTATCTCCCTCCTAAACCTAAACTTATCCAACTTAAATCCGTTGTTCCGAGTCCTATCCTGCTCGGATATTATAAGAACTTTATCTATATCACCTTTATTGATTCCTTTCACCCACTTAAATACTTCTATCATATCTTCCCGCACTCTTCGTCTTTCTAGGGAATGCAAGTTTAGTTTCTTTAACCTATCCTGATATGGAAGGTTTCTAAGTCCCGGAATGTATAGTCCCACAGCTAACACCCTCCATCACTAATTACCTCCAGTCTGTGTGAAAAACCTTCTACCAGTCACTAGACCACTCTCACTTGTTCTCGGTAAGTTAGTTGTAATTCAGGCACGTGGTGGGGTTTTATTATACAGTATATTCAGGTTAAGCAAGCTTGACCTTTTGTCTCATAATCTTTTATCACGTTCATAGTACATAAAGAAATTCACAATTCCAAGTTACCATCTCATATACGTTTACTTTTATCCTCTCCGCCACTGATCGGCTCGTTAGCTGCTTGGGCGATCGGTCACGTTGTTGGCCAGTACGGGGCATGCACTGGCTCCTGAATTTATCTGAACTTGCTCCAGTGCTGGTCAAGTCTGGTCTTGAAAGAGCTCACACTCGGTGCCGTCACAACACACTCTGACAGATTGTTCCAAGACTTCACAACTCACTCCGAAAAAGTTACCCCTCACAGTTTTCTGAGATCGAGGCTTCTTCAACCTTGAGCTGTGAACCCTTGTGGGAAGAGTGTCCGCCAGCTCCAGGTAAGGGCACTCGACTGAGTAGTGCCCTTTGAGATGCTTATACACCTCAATTAAGTCTCCTCTTGCCTATCTGTAGTATAAGCTAGGCTCGTTAGATGTAAGCTAAACTTCCAAAACCAGCATCAAAATCACAGATTATCTTATACATACAGGAGTTACACGGTCTAGTGCCGGATTAACCATGAGGCACTTGAGGCACTGGCCTCAGGCCCCCCGACTCTAAGGGGCCCCCAAATCCAAACATTTTCGAAGTTGAAGAGTATAAAACATGAACTTCGTTCAACGATGTCCTAGCAACGTCTCAATTGTCTGTCTCTTATGAACATTAAACGTGTTATTTTGCAGAAGCTTAATATTGATGAAATCGTTGATAAATTTGGGTATATTTTGTTCTTGTTATTTATATATACCTTGAGGGTAGGGGACCCCAAGTTGATCTGTGCCTCAGGCCCCTATTAAGCTTAATCCGGCCCTGGTCTACTGTAGGTAGTTGGTCATAGAATAAGGTAATAATTACAATTCTGTTTATATCTTTGGCATTGACATTTTAATTAAGATACATTACCTTGTCTGAGTAATGTACGCGTTGGTCATAAAATAACGTAATATATAATTGCAATAATTTTATACCTTGGGCATTGATATTTTAAAGGATATATTACCTTGTCTGTGAGTAGTAGCGTACGCAACACTTAATAATCACCACCTACTGTACGTCCTCGGTTGCTGTGAGAACAACACTGACGTGACTGAATCACCAAACGACGGTACCGTCTGCCACAAGCCCTCCTCAACTGTCTCCGTAACCTTGAGTTCTCGGATGACTTTGGCTTCTGATTCATATAATAATAAAAATAATAGTTAGGTAGCGTTACTGGACCTTTTTTTCACATTAGATAGATGTTATAAAAGTAAATGTTCAATGCATATCATAATTTCAATAGATTTAGTAAAAGGTAATCATTATATAGTTGCATCTTAATACACATGTGTATACAGATTTGTGGGTTATACATGATATCGAACAAGGTGGTCGTTGTGAAAACAGCTGCGTCCACGAAGAAAGTTTTTAGGCAAAGGTACAGACACATCTGACAAGTTAGTAACGCTGTACCCATACCGGAACACTCAGAATGTAAACTTTGTGATAAACCTTTAAAGCATACACTTGAACACTATATTATTGAATGTGACACTGTCAAAGACTTCAGGCCACCTGGCTTATTGTATCATGAACTTTGTAATTACTCCATTGAATCGGGGAAGCTTGAGGACATTCTTGCTGTTTATCCCAAATTTGCTAGCCCACACTGATTAGTCTTCAATTAGAATATGACGTCCAATGTATATGAACCACTGTCTTGCATGGCAGCGAACAGTTACATCACCCGCACGACTCTGACCAATATCTACTGCTTATGAATATGATGTATTTCTTTGTGTACGAACCTGTCCTGCATGGCAGGGAACAGTGACATTACCCACGTGAATCTGATCTCTACGAGTATATATATATATATATATATATATATATATATATATATATATATATATATATATATATATATATATATATATATGATAAAATCACACGGGAAAATGGAAACAACGGAGTACCTTAGCTTTCGTCTTTATTCAAGACATCTTTCAGAGGCATATATATATATATATATATATATATATATATATATATATATATATATATATATATATATATATATATATGTATATATATGTATATATATATATATATATATATATATATATATATATATATATATATATATATATATATATATATATATATGCTGATAACTACAAGGAAAGAAGAAAACACGAAGTTCCCAAGGCCGTGTAATTACAATATATATATAAATATATATATATATATATATATATAAATATATATAAATATATACATATATATATATATATATATATTAATGAATATGATGTATTTCTTTGTGTATGAACCTCTGTCCTGCGTGGCAGTGAGAAGTGATACCACCCTCAGTGTCAAGACCTGACTGAATTACTCAGAATAGGCAAACTGTACTCCAAGCTTTGTCAATAAATTTGTTAAACTAAAAAACTATTCATCTCGTACAACAGTGTTTTACTTTGTTGGAAGGTGAAATAGCTTTATTACACATCAAAAACTATAAGAGTATTATGTGAAGGTTAGACACCAACTTATTTCTCCTAAATTAAACATGGTAACACTTTTTTACTTACTTTTGTCCTCTTCACCACTGATCAGCTCGTTAGCCGCTTGGGCGATCGGTCACGTCTCGGATTACTTTTCCTTTTCTTTTATCCTCCTCAACAATTTAGCCCAACCTAATTTTACCCCCCCAGTTAGCAATAGGGTGTTAAATGATCAGATGAAACAAACTGAGGTGATCCTGTTTTAGCTCGTCACTGTCACTAGGGCTACCAAACTAGTGTCTGTACTTGAACAGCTCACATACCTAGAGAGATTAAAATGCCTTCAACTGCCTAGGTTATGCTGTAAACGACCAAGATGTGAATTTGATAGAAATCTATAAGCACCTCAAAGGATTTTAGTGTCATGTGTTCTTTTATTTATTTTATCCTCTTCACCACTTATCGGCTCGTTAGCCGCTTGGGCGATCGGTCACATCTCAGTCACGCACTGTTGGTAAGTACTGGGGATGCACCGGCTCCTGAATGTACCTGAACCTGCTCCAGTGTCGGTCAAGTCTGGTCTTGAAAGAGCTCACACTCGGTGCCGTCACAACACTTTCTGGTGGATTTCTCCAAGAGTTCATAACTCTCACTCCGAAAAAGTTTGCCCTCACAGTTTTCTGGACTTGCGGCTTCTTCAATCTTGAGCTGTGACCCCTTGTAGGGCGAGCGTCCGCCAACTCCAAGTAAGGACACTCGACTGAGTAATAATAACAATAATAACGGTTTATTGAAAAAGTCGGCACCGCGAAGGCTGAAAATGTATATTGAACAAAAATGACTTATTACATACAAAGACATGGGGTGAGTGGGTCGTTTAACAAAAGCTTTCATGACTGAAATTAGAAGGAACATGAATTGAATATACAAATTATTATAGTTTACAGTTGATGGCCCCGGCCTGGACTGGTCATGGAGACAGCAGGTGGTGAGGTGTTCACGTGGTGTAGTAACTCGTCCTCGGGTGTTGATATGAAGGACCTCACGTGGTCATGGGGTCACCGGGTGGTGTGGTGTTCACGTGGTGAAGTAACTCGTCCTCGGGTGTTGATATGAAGGACCTCACGTGGTGTCATGGTCACAATGACGGCTGGTCTGTTTGAAACCTGATGATTCATATTATACTCCACGCCCGCAAAACATGTGGATAACTGGTGAGTTATCCCTAGGAAGAAACGCGCTTCCCCTCCCCGTAAGTCCCGCCCATTTGGGGTACTTCAGTTGTCAACTTATATATTCCACTTTTTCCTGGCAAGCTCAATCTCTATTAGTTTATGTAAATCAACTTAAGAAATTCGCCAGGCCCGTGTCAACTGAGGGTCATCTTTGAATGTGTAGCAGTTGATTTGAATGTAATTTTTGTCATTGCGTGAGTAGACATCTCTGGCAACTCACGGCGTATATAAACCTGTGTGTGAAGGAGAAATCCCTTCCTTTGACGTTCTCCAAATTATCCCAGATCCAGTGTGTGGGTTATTTGAACACCCCCACCGGCTGCCCGAGGTCAGTGGCTACCTAACAGTTAGCTGTATTGGACGATGTCGCTGATTCGGCAGGATTAAAATGCTCCAGTCTGCATTGTGGGAACTAGACCCCAGACTCTGGTCACGTGTCAGACTTCAACCGACCATAACAGCGATCTTCATTTGTTGAGACACCAGTGTTCTACCCTGGGACACTCCGTACAGTTATATGGTCCACAGTATTTGTTATATATGATTGGGGATAATTAACAGGAATATAATTATCCCATGTTGGGTAGTGAACCCATTAATTTGTTAGTATCAGTAATAACGTGTTGTGTTGTGAGTGCATCCTCCATATGTACTAACAACAGTTCTAGTGAAGGTACCATGTGTAAGTTTGTCTTGTAGCTGTATGTAATATAATGTACCACCAGTAATGTTGTGAGAAGCAAGAATATCCACTTGGGATTGCAGATGAGTAAAGCCAAGGAGTTGGACCTTGTAGCTGTATGTTAATGACACCCTTTACCTGATTTAATTTCATATTAATAAACCATTTCTTAGAGTTTATTATGGGTATCTGTGGAGGCCCATGGGCAACCTCTTTGTGGAGGCCCCTCCTCATTTAATCGACAGACACATGACAACCGATGTGCAGATACTACACGACCCAACCCCCTCCGACCGACTGTCAACACACACAGCGCCCTGATGGCATTCGTAATGGAAGTGATAATGAATTTTTTTTTATCTCAATTTCGTTATTCCATGTAGTTCATTTTTAATCAATATATGTTTGTGGAATTCTAAATATATTATTAGCAACACAAACAATAGCATTCATTAAAAATATACGGTTCATAGGAAAACCAGGTATCCATGAATTTCAAGGAGTAGCTAGCCTAATTTCTATCACGCTTCTTGCTGAACATAGTTTTACGTGATGGAATAGATAAACATGAATTTTAAAGAATGAAAATAAAAATAATCCAAATGAATAAACAAATAAATAAAATATTATAATATGTGGAGGCCCCCAGATTGTTGAGGCCCCTGGGTAGCTGCCCACTCCTAAGTCCGGCCCTGGTCATGGCTGAGGATTTTAGATAAAACAATATTTGTTGGAATTATATCAAGGATTTGTGCAGTAACAGCTGACTGTTCTGTTAATGATTCTGAAACGAGTGTCAAGATCAATTTAATAGTTTTTGAGGTTGTTAGACATAATTCAGCATCATATTATTCCTAAAATAACAACTGGTATACTGTAGCGTGCGTGCCACTCTCCAGTACCTCCTGGGTCGAGGATAGAAAAAAATTTCCCTAATGCATAAACGTTTTTAGCACAGCTATATGTATATTTATATATGACAGTATGACTAGGTTAGATAAATTCTAGATTATTATAAATAGTCTAGCATAATATATAGGCCATTAAATCACGATTTTAGCCTTATTAATGGAGGGTAAAATGCAATGTAGGTAAAGGAACTGCTCACGCTCGAAAACCAGAATATTAGTAAACAAACAAATTTACCTGGGAGTTATAAACTCTATACAACTACAGTACCTCGTTACCTGTGTATGGGAAACACCAGATGCAGGTATGTGCTTATTTTAATTCTAGTAACTAACTTTCTAAGTTATTAAAGCAGCAAATGGAAATATACGGCTGGTTACCGTCAGTGGTTAAGTAATTATGAGTTTTTTTTGTAAAAGTTTTGGTAAAACTGCAGTTTTGTACAATACGTCAATACCCCAAGTAGTTCCGATTGTTTAGACAATTTTAAGAGACTTTTATTATATAATGATTCCAGTATATTTAAGTAATTTGCGAGGGATACGGTATAAAAGAAGTGTCTTAAAATTGTCTAAAGAACTCTTGATCCATATTGCCCTAAACTACAGTGTACTGCCCACATCAATGATGTGCTCAGTACAACGGTTATACCACAGTTTTGTACACTGATTATGCTTTTCCTTCTATTCATTTTCTTGTGCAAATGCTTAGTTTTCTAGATATAGGTGAGTTAAGATATAGGTTAGGTTAGGCTAGGTCAGGTCAGGTTTTCCTAA